TCATTTGAAAGAGAAATGAACATGGAGATGAACTAAATTAGATTGGCCACTTAAAAGAATTTTTCTTTATGAAATCACTTACTAGAGCACCATAAAACCAAACCAGTCTTTAGGTATGTGGGGCAGGCATCCTTCCACATACACCGTGAGAACCACTTGGTGTATCTTTGGTGTCAGGCATTATTACTGGCGGCCTTGCCTATTCCCTCTCCTGGGGATCTGCTAAGCACGGTCTTGGAACCCATACAACAATGTGTGGTCTAAAGTGAAAACCAAGTAGGCATCTTTTGGTCTTAGTTATGAATGTGTCACAAGGTCAAGCAGGGCTAGGTCTGCTTTGGAGCCAACAGATTTCCTTTATTCCCCTTCTGTATGCACACACACACACACACACACACACACACACACACACACACACATCTCCATCCTTAGTGCCTCCACCCATCCACCTATCTATCCATTCCATATTCTACCAAGCACCCTGTTACCATGTGCAGTATTAAATGTGGGATGGGATACAAAAGAGAACCTGTTATGTGATACTCAGTTGTGCACGTGTGTGTTGGGGGAACCAGATAAATAAAGCTTCATAAAATTGGAATGTAAGATCCTGAGGGTAAGAAGAGGAAAGAGGATTCGCTGCCTGAGACATCTATAGACATGATTAGAAAGAGAGCCAGTTCTTGAGAAACTAAGCAGAAAACAAAAGCCAATGCTTGTTAGATAATGTTCATACAGCATGCAGGCACACAGTAAAGAGGATGATAGGCAAATGTGACTCTGGACAAGCATCTTCATCTTCAGCCCCAGCAGAGCAATTATTCAAGACAGACTGTTTGCATCTAGGTCCAGTCTACCATAAGTCAAAGCCCTAAGTACAGAAAGACACAAGTCTGCCACAAACCAGTTCTGGCCCCAGGCTCACCCTGGGTGCTTGGCTCCTGCTACCTTACCCTCAGGGCCACTCTGTCCCAAGCTTCTGTGTGAGCATTGCCACGCACTGAGGCTCAGAGGACTGGGAGTTTCCCAAATTCCTGACTGTGACCTTCAGGAGCTTATGAGCCCCTAGGAATGGCAGGCAGCGTTGTGTGTCTGGGACAGCTCAGACAAGACATTTCTCTTACTACAAGTCGCCAGGCGTGGGGTTTGCAGGTGCCTGGGCAGCTGCCCAACTTCTTGCCACTCTGAACAGTTCCATGTGGCAAATGTCTGCTAGAAAACCCAGGGCCTAGGAAATTTAAAGCCAGTGACTTTGGATTAAATCTCGGGTTAGAAATGAGCGAATGCCAAGTGTCTAATTAGAAGGTGCGAGGAGAATGATTGATTTCCCCTGCTCTTTGTTTCTTGCCCTGAAAAAGGAAAAGAATGAACCAGACTGCACAGCCTTCTGGTGAAGGCACAGCTCAGGTGAGCATTCTGTCTGCCAGAATGCTAGTGCCAAGGTAGCCCGAGGAATGATGGGTGCTAGAAAGCCAAGGGCAAAATTTGAGCTTAGGAATGGATTTACAAAACACATTAGCAGCAGCTAAGAGATATAGCCTCGATTCTCAGCTTTTACTAGGATATAATTTCTTCTTTCCTTCCATCTTTTTTTCCTTCCTTCTTTCCCTCCTGGTTTTTTTTTTCTTTTGTTTTTGAGACAAGTTCTCATGTAGCTGAGAGGACCTTGAACCCCTCCTGACCCTCCTAAATGCTGGGATTTCAGGCATGCACCGCCACACATGCCTGGCTGTAATAGTCATTTATACTTTACACATTTTATTGATTGAACATGCCTCTTGACACAGGCCAAATTATGATTGTATTTTCTGTTGGAAAAAAAAGTTTCTGTCAAAGCGTTATTTGAAAAAAATTAATTGCTTAAAAGTAAGATCTCAAACCTCATAAAATATGGAGAAACAGTTCCAAGTATAGAAATAAGCAGGTGGGTGCACTTTAGTGATGCCGTGTGCCGTCTCCTTGCAGAGATAAGCTTTTCTAGACAATTCGCTTTTCATGACTAAACTCTTATTTATTTTTAAGATTCCAGAGTGAGAATCTTTCTCCAAGGGATGATTAAAAATCCTGAATAAATTCTGAATAAAAGTGAACACACAAACAAGACCTCAGACACCCTGCCCCTCCCCCAACACACACATCGGGAGCCTTTAAAAACCTCTAACACGATGCTTGTGCATAGCAAATATCAGCCTCATCAGTGGATCAAAGAAGGCCTAACTGCTGGAAACAGGGCTGCATTTGAAAAGGAATTCTCCCTGGCAACAGGGTGCCCTATCTCCACAGGGGAAAATAAGGAAGAAACATAGTCAGGACTAAACATCCTAGTGCAAAAGCCAAGCTTTGGAGGTAGCAGAAAGCATGCAGGGCCCTTCAGAAGTGAAATAAATTCTTCTGCTTCCTTTTGCTATGAGTTCCAATTCCTCTCAAACTGACTCCAGACTGTCAAGTCAGAAGTATTTCCCTGATGGTGACTCCTCCAGGATTCACTCAGCGCCCTTCCCCTGGCCTACCCACTTGGTTGGAGAGAAGGGCACTAAAATCTGAATTAGTGCCAAACAAATTCAACTGAAAGAGAAAAGAGCCCCTAATACCTGATATTTGCCGTTGTTCTCAAAGCTCAGAATCAGAGCTCTTTGGGATACCAGCCTGGTTATCTTGTGTTGTCTTTGAACAAAAGGGATTAACCATGTAGATGCCTTGTATGCCTGTTCAAATCAATTTCAAACAGGACAGAGTTTTCACAGGCTTAAGTATGAAAGTGGGGTGAAACCAGACCTTATAATTAATATGTGTGTTCATGCTATTCTCTTTCTTACCAGAGGTACCCTGCCCTTAGCTACAACCCAGGCCTGCATTGATGCCTGCAAGTGTTCCTCATTCTACAGAAACAGCATTTGTTCATGACTATTAATCACTTCTGTGTTGAGTTATTAGTGGCACAGAGGGTGTCTTGAATATTAAGTGTCTGTAATTCTCAAATCAGAGAACCACTAAAGAAAGGAAGCGATAATTTACTAATCACCCCCCAAATAAGCATACACTCTACTACGTGCTACTGATCCGATACTTCATTTTATAGTTCCAACAAATACACCATGCATTAGTAATATTTTTTGGTGCTGCTGATTGAGCCCAGGGCCTCAGAAATGTCAAACACATGCTTATCTACTGAGCTTTACCCCCTGTCTGCTAATCCCACTTTACAGAATAAGAAAGATAATAACTGTCTCCAGTATTACTCAGCCACTGTGTGTTAGCCAACATGTCTCTTCTCAAAGACCAGTTTCCAGCAAGCATCCTTTAGGCACCATGTGCAGCGGGAGAGTATCAAAACATAATGTTGTCTTTATAGGAATCAATAAGGAAAATCCTGAGTACCAAAACATAGCCTTGTCTTTATAGGTATCAAAATCCTGAATGTGTACCATTTCAGTTAATGTGCTTGACTGCCACAAACTAGGGTGCTTTGGGCCAATGCTTATTTAATCAAAACATTTTCAAAACATTTTAAAATAACAGTGCAGTACAAAACACCCTCTATCAGCATTCCCTCTTAAAACCACACCATCAGCAGGAAGAAAAATATTTCCACGTCATTTCTGGTTTTAGGTTTGTGGACCTGAAAAAGAGATTTGTTCAGCAGCCACTCTGCAGTAATTACTTTCTATACTTCATATCTTTTCTCACCCTGAAATATCAGAATAGATTTCCTATCTTCAATTCATAAGATTTTTGAGCAGTAATATAAATTCTAATTTTCATAGTGTAGAACTCTATCTCTTCCATATTATTTTGTTTCCCCTAAGCACTTGTGGCAATTTTCTGCTTATTTGTGAAGTAAATAAACCCTTAACCAAAACCAGAGGCGTTTCCTTTGATGTACACATGGTGAATGTTCCTAATGCATGTAACTCCTGATGCAGGCATGGATAATGTTCCTAATGCATGCAACTCCTGATGCAGGCATGGTTAATATTCCTAACATATGTGACTCCTGATGCAGGCATGGTGAATGTTCCTAATGCATGCAACTCCTGATGAATGCATGGTGAATGTTCCTAATGCATGCAATTCCTAATGCATGCATGGTAAATTCTCCCTTGCAAAACTCATGACTAAATCATCAGGTAGTTACTATGTCGAGTGTCCAAACCAAGTACTTCTGAGTAGCTTTTTTCTTTGAGAGCTTTCTATCTTTGTATCTAAAAATGTCAACTACTTCTTCAACTGGTGCCACTGACCACACAATGCGCAGTCTTTAGAACATGGCTGAGCTCTGGTGTGGGTCAGGAGGGAGTGTGGCAAGGCAGGTAACATGTACCCACCCGAGACACAACTTCCAGCAAGTTCCTCATCTGTCAGGTGCTCCTGAAACTTCTTCACACATTATAGATTTTAAAGCATTCTCTTACTTTTCTAAGTAATATCTTTTCCCCTGTGGAGCACTGTGAAATTGCTTGACTCAACTATTCTGACCTAATACAGAGAGCAGGAGGGCGAAGGGCACAGTTATCCAGCCACACCTCAGGATGGCACTGCACAGGCTGGAAAGTTTAGGGGGAGGGGAAACTAGGCCCATTTTTCTTCCAAAGTTACCATGTACTGCTTCTCAGAATATTCTGCAGTCGTGAGCTGCGGAGCAAGTGGGTTGTGATGCTGGGGTAACATTTTAGGTGGGGCCATCCGATACGACACTAGAGCACAGGGCGGCCAGATGGTCAGCTGAGGTGACAAAAGTACAAGCAGGCTGCTTGTAACTCCACTGTGAGGCCCTCGTGAAAGACGATATTCACATGTCCATCATCTGTGTCCTCATTACCAAGGTGTGGGCGTGATGTCTGCCCAGCAGTGTCACCTGGGCTGTGCACAACGACAGCGCTGACTTGTGCCTCATGTGCATAGAGCCCCACCACGCTCTGCGTACGGACTCTGGACTCCACACAGTCTCAGAGGGAAGGCCCTGGGGATTGAAGAAGAAAGATGCACATAGTCACACTTACCAATTCTTCATTTTCACAATCAGAATTAAGCTGGACTACTTCTTCCGTGTCTGGTTTCTTAACGATGTTTCTGCAGACCAGCCAGATGGTCAGGCTTGCAATGAACATCCCGACATCAGGCACAAACACCCTGATGCCATTGCCAGCATCAGCTCCCTTCAAGCTACAGAGGGAAGAAGATGGGAGGAAGTTATTTCACATAGGTGTGGTCAAACATCTTATTGCATACTTACGTCTCTTAGTGATGTAAAATCAGAGATGCCCACTTCTGCCTAATGGTTACCAGAAAGTTCTTCACTGACTCCCAAATCTACGGAGATACAGGCAGATCCCAAACCTTCTTGATGGTTTTAGAGCCACAAAGAACAGAGGAACTTTGGTGGTGCAATCAACCCAAATGGACCACTCCAGGCATACAAATAAACCACACTGATGTTGCATGTGTGCACTATGCCTTTGTCAGTCATCTGGATGAAGCCATTTAAAACCCGTATGTAGTAAATGGTAGAAGACAGTGTAACAAAAATATAGGTCAAAGCCAGAGGGAAAACAGGAAGAAAAAGAAAACACTCCAAGAATCTTGCAGTCCAAAATCTTGTAATTATTTTTGTGCTTAACCGAGTTTTCTTTTCCACATTGCTCCAAGAAAGGTTGATCTAGTGTGTTTAATTTTTTCTTGCAATCATTGAGAAATGATGTTCAGCTGAGGAGATTTGTGGTCAAGTCCAAGCCTGATAAGAGGCAGCTGCTTTACAAATTCCCACAATCCTCCGCTCTCTTTCTGTGCCAAAAACATTAAACTACTTGCCTTCCTTATCAGAGTTCAGTGAAATGAGATACTAGGTCATGACTTCAGAAAAAAAAAAAGATGGGTACATATGTATCAAATAACGTGGATTTGGTTTTGTAAAAATATAGACCTCCTTTTCACAAAAGTCTTGTATTTTAAGACAGCAACATTAACTGGTGTTTAATACTCTTCATGCATACATGGCCCGCATGGTCATAACTGAGATTCTGAAACAGATAGGCCTTGGTATGAGGAGAAGGGGCTTCAGGTGGAAGAGGAGGAAGAATCCGTCTGGAAGGGCCATTCAGACGCTATGACCTTGGGACATGTCCAAGGGCAATGAAAACAGGACTAGAAGGGGGCACACTGTGATGCTGGCTCAGCCAGTCAGCATATGTGTTAGCCAGAATGTGTCTAGAAAAACCCACACCACTCAGTAAAAAAACAAAACAAAACAAAACAAAACAAAAAAACTGAGGTTAAGAGTCACTGGCAAACTTGCCACGCTGTATGGCACATGACACAGACCAGGTCTTCCAGTGCAAGAAAGGATTAAGAGCAACATACTCCCATCACTACATAGGCATGTCACACACTAGACTAGGAACACATGCCGCTGTGTTCTCATCACCAAAATGTGAAGGGAGAAAGCGTGTTAGGAGAACTAACGAAATGACCAGGGATCCAATGGGTCAATGCGTTACAGGTAGAGTAGTCAAGACACTGTGTCAATGGAGCAAGTGTGATGTTCAGTGGAGTCATTGAAAATGGAATCTTCAAAGGCGGCTTAGGTCTTTGAAGACGTTTGCCAGAGGGGGCAAAACAAGAGGCAAAAGGTAGGCAGATGGATTTGCACCTTGCAGAATGGTATATGGGATTCAAGCAGTCATCCCTTGATTGGCACAGGAGACTGCCCCATGTTCCGTCGGATGCTGTGGATACCCAAATCCTTGAGTGTTCAGTCTCCTATATAAAACCATGTGGTGTTTGCATATAACATACACATGCTTACACAAATCGGTGAGATTAATGTGCATTTGTCAAGAAAACGTTAGCCTAAATCATGCATTTTCCAGGGCACTTGCCAGGGACATATTTCAACTAAGGGAGTCATTTTAGGGTTTACAGGAGACTTGATTATATATGGGATCCCAGGTCCAAGGAGAGATCCCCCAGATTGTTCTCTGGACAGAGGAGAGGGTGCCTGAATCGGCTGTGGCCCATAACCATACTGATGTATATTTTGCTTATCACCATAGATCCTTCATCTGGCGAAGGACAGCGATAAAGTCGGAGACCCACATTGGAGCACCGGACTGAGCCCCCCGAGGTCCAAATGAGGAGCAGAAGGAGGAAGAACATGAAAAACGAAATCAGTACTGCGAGGGATGCTATCACCCACTGATACAAGGAAACGGATCTAATGAGAGTTTACCAAGGCCAGTTGGACTGGGTCTGAACGAGGACATGATCTAACCAGATTCTCGGAATTTGGCCGGATTCTCTGAATGTGGCTGGCCCGAAGTCTTTCTGAAAAGCCACTGACTATGATACTGGGACCTGTTTCCTCTGCATATTCTGGATTTTGGGGATCCAGTCTGTTTGGATATTCACCTTCCTGGACCTGGAGGGAGGGGGAGGAACTTGAACTTCCCACAGGGCAGGAAACCCTGACTTCCCTAAGGGACGAAGAGGGAGGAGGAGAGGGAGTGGGGGGAGTGGGAGGGTGTTGGGAAGAGGGCGGAAATGGAAACTTTTATAATTTAATAAAATTTACTTTCAAAAAAAAAAGAAAATATCTATTTAGTTCATCATCTTAAATAGCAAAAAGTATTTCCTTTCCAGTCATTTTGGAATCACAGTGATCTCATTTCTTCATAGAGAATGATGCCTCTGAAAAGCGGTAGAGCAGATTAAATTATGGCATGTTCAGAAAATGCCCTAACAAACCATCAGTGAATGCAAATGTGTGTGAGGCCAAGGTCTACATCTAGGAAGCTGAATATGCCTCACAAATCAAAACGCGTTTAGGCATCCATGACAAAGGGGCTAGATGGAATGACAAGGGAGTCTTCTAAGACCTTAAGCCTGTTGAGCCTGTGCTGAATAGAGAAGGCTGTCTTCAGGCTGTGTGTGGTGGTGCACGCCTCCAATCCAAACACTCTGGAGGCAGAGACAGAGGGATCTCTGTGAATTCATGGCCAGGTTGATCTATATCGTGATATGTAGGGCTGTTAGAAGTGCAGAGTGAGACCCTCATCTGAGGTTTTTTTTTTTTTTTTTTTAAGGCATGCCTTTAACGTGCTGTTTTTTCAACTGCTGAAAATTCCCTGTGTAGACCACATCTGGAAGACATTAAGTCGGTTACTTTGACTTGGAAGGTTAACAGCCAACTTATAGCCTCCTGCCCATGATGGCATTTGGTCAGATTCCACTCTCCAGTCCACAGCCAGAGAAAGACAAGATGAGTCGTGCTCACAAGTTTCACTTTCCCTACCTCAGGGAAATGACTTTTTAAGGTCTTCCCTACTCTAAAACGTCCTTTTGACTATGAAAAGTCAAGACAAAGAAGAAAGGAAATGTAGGCGGGAGCAGGACAGACAAAAGAGAGGTGACATTTCAGCATCCACATAAGGGCAATCACGCCCAGGGTTCTACCTCCAACATAGAAAAAAAAAAACCCGCAGAGACCAATTCTGTTCCACACAGCTCTTCTCGGGGGAGCAAATCCTCTGGTGCAGAGTTAGCAGAAAGGTCAACTACAAGCGAATTGTGGTAACAGAATTAAAACACCACATGGCCATCCATTAAACAAATGAGAGCTATCAAAAATGCTTTCATGGAGTTTTCTGGTGGTTTCTGAAGCTCACACACTACGAATTGTCTGTCTCCTGTTGTTTACCTTAAGTAGGACTCTGTATGAAATGTGCCACCACTGAGTGGCTTTCAGTGACATTAAAAGCAATGAAATGAATGCAGATATAATTACAAAAACTTACAAACCTGATTCCTGCTCCTACTCACACACGTGCACACACACATGCACGTACGCAAACACACACACACACACACACACACACACACACACACACATACACATTCTGTTTTTTAATTTAATATTCATCTCCCCAGAGATAGCTATGTCACATGTAGCGGAATAATGCATTTGATGTGAATGGGAAAAGTCTTAAACTGGATTTACAGTTTCTTTAAGTATTCAAGTCAAGGGCTTCTATAATTAATGATTCACTTTTAAAAAGCAAGGATTGCTTTGTTTATGTGAACCTGAAACTAAGTCCTTTTCTCCTATTGAGAAAACAGTCAAGCTCGGGGCTCTAATTATCACAGGGGATCGTTTGTGCTCCACTCCCACCCCCCAGTTAGTTCCTGGGTTTGTATACTATAAAGCTACAATGCTGCTTAAGTATTTCAATCCTCTTAGCTTGCTGTCACAGTTCCACTGGAAAGACATGCTATTCTCACATCAGTGTGTGGATGGGTTGTCACGTGTCATTTAGGAAGAGTCTGTTTAAAGGAGCCCATTCCTTTGCCTGCATCAAGAGAGTCGCAGCAGTGGGGCGGCAGATGCAGCGCTTGCTCAGGACACTGCCACGTGCTAGTCCTTGTGTGTGCTGCTCTCCTGGAGTGTGCTGCAGCTACCCAACACCAGCACTTGTCCTCTCAATGGCCCCTGAGAACATGGTCCTAGACCATTGCCGGCTTCACATGAGCCCTCTGGGGGCAGCAAGCACAGCATGGGGACCGGCAAACGCTGCAAAGCAAGTATGTTTCTGTGTGGGACCAGCGGTTGCACATTTACCAGCACACTACTGCCACTGGCAAACTCAAACAGAGGAAAGAAAGAAGACAGAGTCCAGAAACAGTAAGAGTGTCACTCACTCCCTTTGCCCGGTGCCTCAGGTGGTAAGATCCTGAACCATCACCTAGGCCCAGCATCATCAAGCCCAGAGTCCTCTCTAGCCCGCTAGGCCCTACCCCAGCACTCCCTCTGTACCTGTATCCTCCATCTAACCTTGCAGCCTCTCTGAACTCCCTCATCCCTGAGGCTCTTTGACGTCTTTGGTCAGTGACTACATGGTCTAACTGGTGAAGATGCTGGGACCATTGGAGGGAGGCTCATAAGGGCAATGCTGATGGTAACCAGAAGTATCAGGTTTAGGGTTGGAGAGATGGTGCAGCATTAAGAGCACTGGCTGCTCTTGCCAAGGATGTGGGTTGATTCCCAAAAGGTGGCTCACAACCTCCTGCAACTCCAGTTCCAGGGGATCTGCTTCATTTTTTTAGTCTCTGTGCATACCAGGCATGCACAGGTGCACAGATGTACATGCAGGCCAAACATCCATACACAGAAA